GTGTTGTTGTGTGTTGTGTGTTGTGTGTTGTGTGTTGTGTGTGCGTGTGCGTGTGCGTGTGCGTCTGCGTGTGCGTGTGCGTGTGCGTGTGCGTGTGTGTGTGTGTGTGTGTGCGTGTGCGTGTGCGTGTGCATGTGCATGTGCGTGTGCGTGTGCGTGTGCGTGTGCGCGTGCGTGCGTGCGTGTGTGTACGTTTTGCCTGCGGGAGGCCTCTCGTCGGCACGACCGGATTCCCCCCCGAAACGCTGGCCGAAGCGCACCCCACGACGGGTCTGGGGGTGGAATCTTGACCACCGGCACACCCCACGACGGGAGGGAGGGATCAGGACTCGGGACTCGGATGTCCGCCAGACAGTCCCATGATGGGATCAGTGCCGCCAGAGAGAGGAGGGAAGGGAGGGAATGGAAAAGAAGAAGAGGGGAGGCGTGGAGGAGGAGAGGGGAGGAGGTTTCACGCAGTGCTGCAGGATGCAATCGGACGCAAACAGGTTGGCGCCATCAGCGAGATCGGGGGTACAGAGGGAGAAGCGAGAAACGGGAGGCGGATTATACAGCTTTTTATATGGTCTGGTGCTCCTACGCTGTCCTCGTCGCCAACGCTGGATCCGCCGTCGGAATAATAGTCAGAACGCGCTCTGGAGGTCAACGAGTCAGTTTTCAGGGAAGAAGGTGGACAAGGGGGACACGAGAGGCGTTCGAAGGATTCCAGAAAGGTCTTCCGTCGACGGCGGCGACGACCACAACGACGGCACCGACGACGACTACGGCCACGACGACCGCGACGGCAACGACGACGGCGGTGTTGGCGACGACAGCGGCGGCGACGACAACGACTACGACGACGACGACGACGACGACGACGACGACGACGACGACGACGAACACATGACCACGACCACCACGACGGCCAACAACTGGGGAAACCAACAAATACCGGTACCGCTACTCCGCAGACCTCTCCCGGGGTCCGTTCTGACCAGACTGGCGAGGCGGACCCGGCCCAAAACCGACCGACACCCCCCTCCTCGCCCCGGCACCCCTACCCCACGGAACCTCTGTTTCTGGGACCCCCCACCCTACGACTTCTCACCCAAAACCGACCGACACCCCCCTCCTCGCCCCGGCACCCCTACCCCACGGAACCTCTGTTCCTGGGACCCCCCACCCTACGATTTCTCGCCCAAAACCGACCGACACCCCCCTCATCGCCCCGGCACCCCTACAGTGTCGTTTTTATACATGCTCCGCGTGCGGATCATGCATTATGCAGGGATTTAGTACAAAAAACAACGATGAGTTCACGCATAAATTTATTCATAGATTAGTCATGCATTAAAATTTTTACTGTTTTTTCACAAAAAAATGTATTAAAAACTGCCCCCCCACGGAACCTCTGTTCCTGGGACCCCCCGGCCCTACGATCTCTCGCCGTGGCGACAAGGGCCGCCCTGGAGTCGCAAAAGGGCGCAGGCGAGAGAATGGCGGCGGCGACGGCGGCGGCGACCACCCCACGACGGCAACGACGAGGGGCGGCGGCGACCCCGGCAACGACGACGACGACGACGACGACGACGACGACGACGACGACGACGACGACGACGACGACGACGACGGCGACGACGGCGGCGGCGGCGGCGGCGGCGGCGAGGCGCGGCGGCCTTCGGGGAGCGAGGCGGGGGGGCGGAGCGAGGAGCGGGCCATCAGCCCAGCCTCATCACGTCGGGCGTGTCCACGTCGGCCTCTGCGCGGAGCGCCAGAGCTGAGCGGGGACCGACCGTCCCGGCAGTCCTGTGAGCCTACCGCGAAACATTCTCAGAACGAGAGAGTGTTCTACGAACACGAACCTGGTCCTTGGATCAGAGCCCCGCTGCGCTTGAACAAGACGGCCTGAGCCAGAACTGTTCCAGGAACCTTTCGTGCAAACCACAGAAGGTCCTTCGAGCATTCTGTAGTGGGCCTACAGGCAACTCAGGGCGCGTCGCTAGTGCTTGACAGAGGGCCCGCCGCCGAGGAAGCGCCCACGCAGGCGGGCAAGAGCAGCGGCGCCAGAGGCGGCGCGCAGAGGGAACGAGTGCGACGCCTGGGAAAAGCGGGGGCTGAAGGGCACGTCGGGACCGCTCACTGGCCTGCTCACTGTCCAAGGCAGCCGGGGAAACGTCGGGGGGTGGGGGCCGGCTCAGGGGGGAAACGTCGAGCCTGAATCGGTGAGGCGTTTGGCGCTGGTCCCCGATAGCGCAGCCGCACCTTCCTGGACGGCTTGGGCCAGCAGGCCCACACCGGCGATCGGTGGGCGATTGGGGGGCCCGATGCACCCCCCCCCCTCAGGACCATCGCCCCCATGCGTTGCCCAAGAGGGGCGCCCCTCGAGAAGAAGGGCATCCGCAACATCCAAGGGCTCCCAACTTCGCGCTTCGCGCTGCGCGAAGCGCGGAGTGCGCATACCTTCGCGCCCTCGCGCCGCCTCCCAGGGGGGAAGAGGAGGACGAGGAGAAGTCGGAGCCGCACCGCGAAGCGCGAGGCGCGAGCAACTCCGCGCCCTCGAGTGCGCCCCTGAACATATCCTATACTCATCCGGCGGGGTGACGGCACGGTCGCGGCGGCCAGCAGCGACGGCCGCTGCCGCAGGAAAACCGCCGCCGGGCGCCGCGCAAGCGGGGGCGCGGGCGAGAGCTGCCGCAGGCCAGCGTGCGAGGCCGCACGAGGCCGGCAGCGGGGGGCCTCGGGTATTCACCGGGGGCCCTGCGAAGGCCTCCGGGGAGATCTGCGGAGGCCTCGGCCCGTACCCGTCGACACGCCACGGCACGCGGCTCGGAAGACGGGCCAGCACGGTGGCCAGGAGGGGCCCGCGGGTGAGTTGTCGACGGGACTCACGCCCGGAGGAGGGAAGAGGCTTGTTCGCCTCGCTTGGGGCCCATGAGGCCTCAGTGGTCGGACCAGCTCGATAGAACAGCAAAAAAGAGATGCCTCGGGCGATCCCTACCAGGGACCTGCTGCACATGGTTTCGAAGTCTGTCGCGCGGGCCTCTGCAGTGTGATATGTGGCATAGCTGCTGACGCATGGTCATTGCACGTGTTCTGTATACTTGATATGTGTTTACGTTGATTCGTGTGCTGGGGGTGGTTAGTTTGGCGTATGGATGGCACATACATGTTAACATGTTGATTGCTAACAACATGTGCTGACGCTCGTTTTGCGACTACGTGTATTGGTCACGTGTGCAATTGGATTGTAGTGGCTTCCATTTGTCTGCTCCTGGTGCCTATTGTTAGCGCATGCCGTTGATGCACTCCTTAGATTGAGGATATGCAATGCTCCTTGACGTGTGTCCTCGGTGTCTGTTCTACCTGTCTGATACGGCTGCGCGTTCTTGGTTTGCTTCTTCATTGATGTGTGGTATTGCTATGTGTTGCTGATGCCTCCTCCTCCTCTTTTTCTCCACCCCCCTCCTCCCCCTTATCCTCCTCCTCTCACAGTATATAAAAAACGAGGGCGCAATCGCCAGGCATCCTCGCCGCGCGCGACGCCGAGCATTCTGTCTGTCAGGGGTGTGATTCGTATGTTGCACACGTAGTCGTCTCCGTTGTTTCACCATCTTCGTTTCCGTCCCCATTAATGGGGCGTGCGGCTTTTCGAGTCGCCCAGCCGGACTTGCCTCTTGCCTCTTGCTGATGCCTGTCGTTGGTGTGCGTGTGCATGTTAGGCTTACGCCTGTTCCTAGTAGATGTAATTGGTGTACGTGTGTGTGTGTGTTCTTGGTGTGCCCTGCTGATGTGTGTCAATCATGTAGGTCTGTTCTGGATGTCTGTGAACAGAGCGGCGGGGTGACGCCTGTACGGCGTGATGTCTCCCTGGTGGGGCTCGCGAGGCAGAGCCCACCAGGACCACCCCTGGACTCTCGGGGCCTGGCGGCCGCGCCTCTACTGCATGGGCGAGGCGGGTCGGGAGACCTCCTCCCAGAACCTGACAGCCCCAAACCCCCCACGGACACACTAATAAATGCACACAACTCCCGGAGTTCCGCATATTTTCTCATAGTTTCTTCGTGTTCGTCTGCCCACCCATTTCCCACATGTTCCCATATTTTCCTAGGAATCGGCGATTGTTTGTGTCTGTGTTTCTGTTCCCTCCTGAACGAAGTCGGGAGCTCGGGTCTCGATTGTTTTCCCACGCATGTGCGTAATTGTTCTGACATAGATCGTCGAATACCGCGGGGGCTTCCCACGCAACCGAACTTCACAATTTCTGAGGCTGACAACCTGACAGAGTCGGACGCGGCACGGTGGACGAATCGTTCACGCGTGGAGCAACTGCAAAAGAATGGCAATACATTCCGTGGTGACAGGTTCCTCTGAAACGAAAAAAGCTAAGCATCATCCCATGACCCTCGATGCGCACCAAGAGTGGATCGCGGAGGCCAGGATCTGGGAAACGCCGTGGTAACTGTTTCGCACGTCAAGAACGAATGTGAACACATATCGGCAGCGGCCAAGAAGGGGGTGTCCAAGAGGGGGGGGTGCAAAACATGACCGGCGGCATGTGCGTGGCCCAGCGGGGGGGGCAGGGACGTAATGAAATAAGAAGAGGCGCCATGAAATCTGGGGAGATATCATGGCCCCCGCCATGATATCCAACCCCCCCTCCTGGTCATCACCCCCCCCTTTTGCCGCCCCCGAATATCGGGGCGGTAACACACTGCAAGATGTTTAGGGCGAGGGGGACTTTGTCATCCTGCCGCAGGGCGGAACCCCAACGGCTGTTCTCGCTTGGACTGCGTGCGAAGGGGGAGCTCCGCTTCGGCCGCTCCGCTGCCCTGGGAAGCTTCACAAAGGAGCTGTCGCGTCACGCCGCGGCGGCTGTGCGCTCGCGGGATCGCTGGGTGCCCCGGAGGCGGCGAGGAAGTCAGCGTGCAGATTTTCACACGGGGGTGGGGGGGGCCGCGTTGCTCGCATCGGACTCTGGGGCGAGCGTGGAGGCGGAAGAGGAGGAGGAGGAGGCAGGAGGAGGAGGAGGAGGAGGAGGCAGGAGGAGGAGGAGGAGGAGCAGGCCCCGACATCCAGAGCGGTGCGAAAAGAAAACGCCGTGTCGTGATGAGCTCTCGATCCCATCTTCAGGGAGGATTTCTCGAGCAGGACCCACAGAACTGCCCAGAGCCCAATGGAACGCGCGAATCCCCTGAAACCCATCCTCAATTTCCTCCTTGCCTTTCCCCCTCCCCCCCCCTCCTCATTATTCATGCATGTACTGAGGGCGCGACACATGAAAACCGGGCTTGGAAGATGAAGAGGAAGCGAGAAGAACAGGCTCAGAGCAAGAATACTGTACAGCAGAGACGTCGGGTACATAGACTCCAGACCACTGCAGACAGCCCGAGCCACCAAACCCCCTCTTCCTCCGCCTCCCTTCTCCTGGGGCGCGTTACGACCCAGGGCTCGAGGCGGCCAACCCGGCACAGTGGCGAGGAGGGCCCCGAGGGATGCCCAAGAAGGGCACACAAAAAAAGGAAGCATCCCATCTTGCCCTCCTCCCTGGCCCCTTGTCCTACGACGACCACGACGATGACTACGACGACGACGACGACGACGACGACGACGACGACGACGACGACGACGACGACGACGACGACGGCGGCGACCAAGGCGGCGGTGGCCGCGGCGACGACCCCGCGGTGGGCCTTGCGGCCGACGCTGGCCTGGGCTCCCGACTGGCTGTACTTTTCGTAAATCTGCTGCAGCTTGCGCTGCTGCTCCCGCTCCTCCTCGCTGCGCCACACGCCCTGGCGGAGGCGGGGGGAGGGGTAACGAGGAATGCTCCTCCTCCTCCTCCTCCTCCTCCTCCTCCTCCTCCTCCTCCTCCTCCTCCTCCTCCTCCTCCTCCTCCTCCTCCTCCTCCTCCTCCTCCCTCCTCCTCCTCCTCCTCCTCCTCCTCCTCCTCCTCCTCCTCCTCCTCCTCTCCTCTCCTCCTCCTCCTCCTCCTCTTACTCATCCTCCTCGTCCTCCTCCTCCTCCATCCTCTTCCTCCTCCTCCTCCTCCTCCTCCTCCTACTCCTCCTCCTCCCCCTCATCCTCATCGTCCTCGTCCTCCTCGTCCTCGTCCTCGTCCTCGTCCTCCCCCACCTCGTCCTCTTCCCTCCGCCTGCCCCCCTGCTCCCTCCTCGTCGACAAGTCCGACTCGCCACTGGTGCCAGTGAGAGCGGCACGCGCACGGGCCCGCAACCGGCGGCCTCTGCGCGGCGTGCCGTGCCCCGCCCTGTTACTCCACCGCAGGTCCGAGCGCGGCGTGCACTTCAGCAGCTTCGGCGCAGGCGGTGCCCGCCCCCTCTGCAGGAGCGGGCGCGGAAGGGCGAGCGGGGGGCGCGCGGGCATGCGAGAAGCTCAGCCACGGGGAGGACAAGGGACGAGGAGCGTCACCAAGACTGAACGCGGAAAGGAAGAACACGGCGTCGACCCTGGTCCTCGTCGATTCGTGAATCGTCCTCGTGGATCGGCGACGGCTGGCATGGACCATGACCGAGATCGGCGTCGACGAGATCCCGCGGCATCGTGGCCATGGCCATCGCGCTGCTTCGCTCGGCCATCGGCCCGTCCATCGAGCCTCGGCCGCCTCGCGGCCCAGTGCCTGCAGTTCGGCCGCCAGAGCAGACGCCGCAGAGATGAGGAGGAGGAGGAGGACAGTCGGGAACTTCTGCTTGCCGCGTCGTGGCGACGGCCCCAGCGACACCCGATGTCCTCCAGATGGATAGCGTGTCGCTCCGCGGCACGGGGCGGAAGGCTGGGTGATGCCTGGGGACTGGGGCGTGGTTGGCGTGTCGTGCCGAAGCGTGGTGGGCCAGGACCGGCGGCGCGACACGCCAAGTAGACTGCCGATGCAGTACGCGGCACGGTCGAGACGTGGCCACGAGTCCGCGAGTGAGAGACAGGAGCACCCCGGCCGAAGGCCTGGGGCCAGAAGGGGAGCTCGGAGAGGAGAGCCCTGCGGGGCGGGGAGCCCCCAAGCACGAAGAATTTTGGAGGTCGTCCCCGCTGGCCGAGACTGCGACGCGCGAGGCAGGGCGTCTTCTCGCCGCTGCGGGCGGCCCTCACACGCGCAGACCACCGACGTCCCGATGTTTGCTGTCTGGGGGGTGTCGATTACGGGGCGACGACATCTATACACACCCGCTGCTCCCTGGCCAGGCCCATCCTGAAGCCAGCAGCGGAGCACACGCCCCGCCCTCCTGGCTCGGCCAGGAGGGCGTATGCACAGCTCCCGGGTTCAGGATGGGCCTGGCCAGGGAGCAGCGGGTGTGTATAGATTTCGTCGCCCGAGATTTGAAGCCCCCCAGGTGGGGTCGGAGCAGATGGGGTCGGAGGATCGCGCCGCGTCGCCAATGCATCGGCGGCATCGGCGTGGAGCAAATCGGGCTCCACATCCAGCGGCACCGCCGTTGCGGCGACTTTCCGACCCCATCCACTCCGATCCCATCTGGGAGACCTGGATCGATGGTCCGCGGATCCCTGGTCCTCTCCTCTCCAAGACTGGCGTCTCATCACGAGGAATCGGCCCGAGTCGGGCATCCGGAGGCGGAAGACCTCAGAAACATCGGCCGCCACGGGGAGGACCAAAATGTACCGATACCGCTACGGTCGGGGGAACTGTTGCTTAGCGTGTCGCCGCCGCCCCAGCGACACGCTATGCCCTGCAAGCGGATGGCGTGTCGTTCTGTGGTGGGCCAGAACCGACGGAGCGACACGCCATCCAGAAATTGCCGACCGTACAGTCGGGGCGTTGATCTAAGGAACCCTACATAAGGAGCGGGGCCCCTTTCCCCCATAAGTTGAACTTCGATTTCCCATGGAAAACCTCAGGAAAACAGAATGGCGAACTGTCGAACAATCAAGGAACACCGAGCCCCTCCCCAACGAAAAGAGTTCCTTTTTCAGGGCCCCGGCTGTAATCCCCGGAAGTCTCCTGGAGAGCGTTCTGCCCTGGATGTCATGGCGAAGCCAGCCGTGGCGACGAGGGAAGGGTAGCGGCATTGGTATACGATCCTCCTCCTCCTCCTCCTCCTCCTCCTCCTCCTCCTCCTCCTCCTCCTCCTCCTCCCAGGACTTCTTGGAAGCGCCAAATGTCCAGGGGCCCGAAGTCCTCAGCCGACCCGCCGGCACGGCGTTCACCCACCAGAGATCCGATGTCTTGACCTGTGCCATCGGGGATCCCTGGAAGTCCATCTCCGAGGGCGTGGGCGAGGGCGAGGGCGAGGGGCGGCGGAGGTGGAGGGAGGAGGAGGAGATGGAGGGAGGAGGAGGAGGAGGAGGAGGAGGAGGAGGAGGAGGAGGAGGAGGAGGAGGAGGGGGAGGAGGAGGAACGGTTATTCTCTCGACGCTGCAATGGCAGCTCACGCCGCGACGCACACTTCTTTTTTACTCGCCGCAGTCGGCCTAGATGGCACCTATTCTGTGGAAGGGATGGGGGTTGGTGGCTATGTTGACCGTTGGTGGTGTGGTGGATGAGTATACGAACCTGCAGCGACAGGCCAAAACTCGGTGCAGCTACGTTTGCACCGTGGCACATTGTCCGTACCTCAGCTACGGCCTTTCAGACAGGCAAGCCTCTCAGGCCAGCCGAAATATACTGCAATCGCTGAGTCACGGCGACGCTCACCGTCAATCTTACTGTTGCAGCCGGTGCTGTCCATCTAAAGCGAGTGTCGTCACACCTGGCCAGCGCCTACCCCAGATTTTGTAATAAAGGGAGGGGGGTCTCATTTCGGGGGGGGGTCTCTTCCAGGCTATCTTGGAGGGCCTGGGGGGTCTGGGGACGATGTTTTGGAGGGTTCTCCCACGTGGGAGGTCTGAAATGGCTTGTCTTGGAGGGTCCAGACCCCCTCCCTTTTATTACGAAATCTGGAGTACCCTCGCCAACACTCTTACCCTGCGCTCACACTCCTTCCCTTTTCCGCGGCGCCCGCCGGGTGCCCTTTTCCTCGACGCGAGTCGCGTTTTGTCCGCCAGTCACCACTCACGCCACAGCGTCACGCTCAGGTTGGTCTAACGTAAAAGGAGGAGGAGGGAGAGGGGGAGGAGGAGGAGGGGGCGAGGTGGAGGTGGAGGTGGAGGAAGGAGGAGAGGAGAGGAGAGGAGGAGGAAGGAGGAGGAGGAGAGGAGGAGGAGGAGGAGGAGGAGGAGGAGAGGGCGAGGAGGGAGGGCGAGGGCGAGAAGGAGGAGGATCGGGGATCCGATGTTTCGATGTGTTCCATCAGCGACCCTTGACGGTCCCACGGCCTGGAGACAGCCTCCAAAGGCCAGAGACGATGAAAGACCGGCCGTCACGACGTTGGCTGCGGCGCACGGGGCGAGGGCGAGAGGCCGACAGCTGCCAAGATCTCCGTCTTGAGCTTTTTGCTGCGTTGTAGGTCCAAGGCAGGGCTGACGGCGTGGCAACTTGTGGGTGCGAAGGGGACTCTGGCTCCTGCGACCCACGATGCGCGCAAAATGAGCTGCAGGAAAGTGCGGACCACACCCTCCTGCACCTCACATATTGCGAGCGTGTCGCGCGAGAGCGACACGGCGAAATGTCAGAGAACGCAAACCACAGATTCCTACACTTGGCTTGGCCACAGACCAGACCAGCCCCACCCACAACGCCGAAGTCGACCGCGCTGCTGCCAAGAACACCCTCAGCCCGTCCACAGGGAGGTCTGCAGGTGAGCCCAGCACCTCCGAGACTCGAGAAGGCGGGCCTTCGCCCCCTCCTCCTCGTCGGTCGTCTTCCGCCGCTTCACGGGGTTCATGGGCTGCAGGGTGTCGTCCTGGGGGCGGGGGCCAGTCAGCATCGAACCAGGAAATCGAAGCAGTAGGGGGGCACCAACTATACACCAACACCGATCCCGGCCCAGATCAACCTGGGCCCAGGATCGGTGTATACGCCCTCCTGCCATGGGCAGAATGCATATACACCGATCCTGGGCCTAGGATCGGCCTGGGCTGGATCGGTGTAGGTGTATAGTTGGTGCCCTCCGAGAGCAGGTCGAGGCTTGCTCGGGCCAGGCTGCATCGGCACGGCGCCGAGCTCGAACCGCATCGGCCGGGCCGGGGTGCGCAGCACCGCCCTGCGAGCATCAAGCCTGCAGCGGATCGTCGGCGTGTCGGCATCGAGCCGGACCGGGCCGGCCGGCATCGGTATCGAATCGGATCGGTCGGATCGAGAGGGGCCCTTCCAGGGGCAGGGGGGGGGGGGGGGGGGGGGGGGGGGAGGGAGGGAGGAGAGGGGGGGGGGGGAGGAGGAGGAGGGGGGGGGGGGAGGGGAGGAGGAGGGGCCCTTCTAGGGGGAGGGAGATCGGCGCCCCATCATCGGGGACTTTGACATACGAAGGCGCTGGCCCAGCTGGGAAAACCGCAGCCGTCGAGCGACGGATTCTCCAATCCTGGGTGCTGCCCGGCGGATCGGGCGGGGAGGGGGCCAGGGGTCGGAGGAGGCGGACGGGAGGAGGAGCAGGAAGAGGACGGGGGGCGGGGGGGGGGGCAAGCGGGGCAGGAGGGGAGCGGGGGCATGGCACGTGACGCCCTGTGCTGGTCATGTACAACATGGCTTGCCGCCGTGCTTCCCGAAGACTACTTCCGCTTCATGTTTGCCTCGCTCTCCTCGCCACCCTCTTGTTACCACACCCCCTGCAAGTGCTTTGGCGCAAACTGTTGCATGTCACATGTTATCGATCTCGGGGCTGGCCTGCACGGAAATTGCTTCAAGCAACACGAAACCAGTAATCACCGCGGGACGCGTCTTCAAGGAGGTCCAGGAGGGTCTCCCGCCGGAAAGCGGGCGCCTCGAGCAAGGGGCCGCTGGACTCCGCGCCCTCCTCTGCCTACTTCTCCTCATCTTCACCACCATCTCCTCCTTTTCCTCCACAATCATTCAACAGTCATTCAACCGGAATGCTACTCCCATACCGCCCTCGAAATTGGCCGGGGAATGTCCCCCCCTCTCCGCGCATTGTTGTTTTGTTCTAACACGCGTGATTTCAATAGTTTAACGTTTGTTTGTCCATGGTCCTATCTACAAGGCATCGTTTTCGGTCCCTTGCCGTCGCTCGGGCTCGGTTTTCGTGTGCGTGTGTTGTTCCCCGCGAGGGTTGCCAAAGGCCGCGGCACCCCCCGCAGCTCTCCGACGCGGCCTGCACGGGTCCAGGCCACGCGAGCAGATGCAAGAAGAAACGCAGACCAAAAACACGACCTCCACAGGTCCGAACGACGCCCAGGTCCTTCAAAATGGCGCCGCCGCTTCAGCGCGGGCCCCATTTTAAGGTCGGCGTTTCCTGTTCCCGTCGATGGTTGCTTGGCTTGCCCATGCTCACGGCCCCAGCAGGCCCCAGAGAAAATGCAACAGCATAGGTTGACGTTATATACGTTTGGGGGGGGGGGGGGGGGCGAAACATATGCAACACACTGCGTTTGTCATTAAACGTTCGCGCGGTCGCCATTCTCAGGCAGAGATCTACACAAAATACGTGCTGTGCCTGGGACACATGTGAACACGAAGAACATACTTCTCGACCCGCCCACCTCAGCGCAATACGACTGGTGATATTACATCGTGAATGTACGCGTGACGCGTGATATCCTCAGGTCCCCGCGTTTCTGTGAAGGGGAGGGGGTCACGGTATGGCCCCCTACCGAAACAGCTATGATCACTGTGGAAGTCGCAACCCGCATTGGCCGATGCAACTAATGTGTACGATTGCCAACGGCAATTACGACCGTGGCATGTATATTACCACGCTAGTTAATTCTAGCACTAGCGCCAGCCCGAGCGGCGCGTGAAAGGCGCGTGGGATCTCACCCGCCTCTCCTTGGAGATGTCTGAACGACGTGCGAGAGGCGCGCGAGCGGCAGATCTCAGACGCCTCTCCTATGAGGCGCGTGAGCGGCGTATGAGAGGCGTGTGTTAGGCGCGTCGGATCTCACACGTGTCTCTTGAAAGGCGCGCAAACGGCGTGTGAGAGGCGCGCGAGCGGCCCGTGAGTTGGCCCCGACACAGGCCAGGAGCGTTCCAAGAAGGCCCGAAATGATCCCAAGGACCCCGTGCCCTCCCACCCCCCAAAGACGTCCTAAAGGATCTCCCATGAGACCCCCAGGAGGGCCCCAAACCCCAAGAGGTACCACTTCGCGCGCTTTCGTTTGAGAGGGGACGGGAGGGGAGGGAGGAGGGAGAGGGGAAGGAAGTAGCGCCCTCGCGAACCGATGAACGATCTCACGATTTTCGTTAAACAGCCCATTGGGCACGCAGCTTCGGGCAGTCTCGAGGCAGCCAGCCGCGCGGCATCAAACTCGCGGTGGCCAACACCTTGAATCCCCTGGACGTTCGAGATGCAACAATACATATTATATCACTAGCCATGGACAATCATAGATGAGCATATGCATGATGCCACGTTGGTTTGAACTTAATTGCGCTGGCCCCGCAGTCTCGCCCACTCCACGTAGAAATACAAAGCGGGCAACCAGCGGCAGGCCCAAGAAGGCACTGAACGCTGGCGGCATAGATGGCGCGGCCAACCTGATTGCCGCTGCCTTCTCAGCCGTCACTGGCCCGTCTTCACGCACGGACTGCGCCATGACCAGCACGTCGACGAGCGCGACCGACTCGGACCGGCGCTTCTTCACCTCAATCATCCTGCCGTTCACCTCGCCCATCGTCTTGGCCGAGCCCCTCCCCCACCCACGGCGCCGCCCGCATCCGGCAATGCCTCCGCGAACGGCGCGGCGAAGGACAACGTTGCGAGACCGCGCGCGCCCTTCCAAGAAGCGCAATCTTCCGGGGCGCCCTCCGACTGGACGGCGCACATCTCCTTCGCCTCCAGGTTGCCCCAGATAGGCATGGCCTTCCCGTCGGTACCCATATGCGCCCAGTCCTTCGCCCTCGCATTGCAGGCGTCGATCGACGTCGCGCTCTCGTCAGCCGCAGTAGCCACGAAGCAAGCGCAGACACAAGCGAAACGCCCAGCCGCCTCACTGGACTGACTCTCAAAAGCAGCGGTTACCAAGAAATCGGCAATCGTGGCATCGTGGGCCGTCGACGCGGTCTGGGCCCCGGCCGCCGGCCCCTCCCGCGCCGGGGCGCCGCCTTCGAACGCATCGAGCGCACGACCGAAGGGGCGCGACACGAAGACCTGAAGAGGGAACAACAGCGCCATGAACGACGCCAGGTGCTTTTGGCCAAGCCACTCGATAATACGTCGCATCGCATCTTCCCGAAGCACGCCCAAGTCAAGGACGCGCAACTCGCGAAGGGACACCGCATGCCCGCCGCCAACTGGCAAGGCGCCGAGGTCAATGGGAGGGCGCGCCGCAAACCACTTGACACGCGAATCCACAGCCTCCACGCGCTTCTCGACGCAATCCTCGAGCCCCCCATTGAAACGCCCCTTGGCCGCAGCCTTTATCTGCGAGGGCACCCCGACGAAAGCGCGCGCACACGCGCGCGCACACGCGCGCACGCACGCGCGCACACACGCGCACACACACACACACACACACGCGCGCACGCGCACGCACGCGCACACGCACACGCACACGCACACACACACACACAAAAAAAAAAAAAAACACCCACCGGCGCCGTGAAAAGACAAAGCGCGACGCCCACCACTCTGATCAACGGGGAAGTCCCAATCTCCGCTGCATAGCGGCGCCAAACAGGAATGAGCGGACGAAGGATGATGCGACGTCGCGCGTTCTGCTCGCCCTTCAGATCGCTCGCGGTCGGCGCCCCAGCATTGAAGCCGAAGGCCCCCATTCGCGATCCCATCGCACGCGCGATGGAAGAACTCACACAGCGCCCCCCTCGCATCCTTCGAGCACCCTTCAGCAGTGGAAACCGCATGGCGCGCTTATACTTCGGATTGGTGGAGGCGCCATGAAACGGCGGGACGTCTGGGGAAGCTCACGGCGGGTTTCTATTTCCGACAACTGCCCTGACTCAAGAGCCTTCGCATCATTGGGTAAGTCACCCAGCAACTCATCGATCTTGCCAGCGCCTTCCGCAGTCTCAAAGGTCCGTGGCGTGCGCCGCCAATGCCGCTGCGACGGCGCGAGCGAAGCCGACGCCAATGGAAACACCACCCACCCATCAGAACACCCATTGACTTCTGCCCGCCTCGCAAGATCTTGCGCTCCGACACGGGCACTTCGTCGCCAAGAGCAGACGGCCCGCTTCCAGCGGCGCCCCGGCTCAGACTGAAAGTCGGAAGTCAAAACTGCGATCCGAAGCCGCCGCATGAGGAGCGAACCAAACGGTTCTGCAATATTGCCCATCGACAATATTTCTCTCACATGCCGAGCCTGGCCCATCTCCAACTGCCCCGATGTTCTCGCCCGCGACGCCGCCGAGAACGGCGCCGCGACCCCCCATCGGAGGAAAGGAGGGGGGGGGCCGAGGAGAGAGAGCTCCCGATGTCTGGGGGAACGCTCCAGGCGAAACGAAGCGGGCGCGGAGGGGCCTGAGCCCCCCGCCCTCCAAGAAAATAAAAATCCCGGCGGCCAGATGGAGGGCAAGGAGTGGAACTCGAGGCGGAGGAGGCGGGACAGGCGGAGAAGGGGCCACGAAGGAGAGGCGAGGATAGAAGAATGCAGGGGAACAGCGGAAGGAGGAAGACGAGAGGGAGGGCGAGGACGCGGCGAAGGAGGAGGCGGAGGAGGGGGGTCGAGGAGGAGGAGGAGGAGGACGCAGTAGCGAGGAGTAGAAGAGACTGTCCTGGAACAATGCGGCTTGGACCGATCAGCTCGAACCAAGCCTGGGCGCCGTCGCCCCCGCCCCACAACTTGGAGAACTGCGCCTCGAGCCCGAGCTGGGCCAGGTTCTCCTCGGCGCACTCCTGCCGGACAACCGCCAGCTCGCGGGTCGCCGCGGCCGCGGGCCTCGATGAAGCGATGCACCTTCGCCAACGTCTTCTCCGATTCCCTGGGCCGGCGCAGAGCGCGAGCTCCACGTTGGACGCCGCCTCCATCTTCACCCTCGTCGCCGAGCTCGGCCGCGTCTGCCGCGCGTTCTCGCGGACGTTCGAGACGGCCCCCTTGGGCCAGCGCCCCGAGCGGCGGCGCGCCTGCGCTTCGACGGGTCCGGCGGGCGCGCAGCGCGAGCGATCGCGCCGCGCTCGGCCGGGTGGGTGGCCCGCTCTCCCCGGGCCGCGGCCCCCGCGCCCCCCTGCGGAGGCCGCCTCGAAGTCAACGAGGCCGCCGCGGCTGAGCCCGCCGGCCGTCCGACAAAACCATCGAGAAACACCTCGCCCAGCGCGGGGCACTCGCCGCCGCGGCCCTCCCACTTCGAGGGGAGCACCTCCAGCATTGGTGGCCTTGTGAACCTTCCTCGCATCGGCCCCTTCCCCAACGGTCGCCGCCTCCACCGCTGCCCCGCCCAGCCCCGAGGCCGCTCGCGGCGCTTCTTCCACCCGTCCCTCGCGAGGCTCCGCGCGCGAGGAGGTCGCGCCCCACCCCTTCTCGCGCGCGCGGAACTCAATCTCCGGCATGGCCCGCGCCCCAGGCGCCCAACCCCCCCTACAAATCCCTCGCGACGCCCTTCGCTCCCCCCCCCCCTTGGCCCGCGCATTCCAGAGCTCACCCCTGGTTGCCTCGGAGAGGGGCGGGCCCGCATGCTCGCGCCCCTCGCCCCGCCGTTTCCCGCTCCAGACGGCGGCGCAGTTCAACGCGGCGCTGCCATGGACCCCCCCGCACCCGCGCAGCCACCTTGTCTCGACGCACCCTGCTTCCGACTGGCGGACCCCCCCGACTCCAGCTTCCTCCGCGCGGTGCTCGGGGTCGCCTGCACCCAAGCGGTCGCGCGCGGTCCGCGCGCAGGAGGGGCCGCCGCGGGGCCCGGGCGCACGTCGCGGGAGCGCGGCTCCAGCAACTCAGTTTTCGCACGCGGATGGGTACAAATTAAAACCCGAAGGCGCAAAGCACGCGCGCCGTCCATCTCTGGAGTTCATCTCATCGCAAATTGCCTTCCCGGCGGCGCGCGCCCCTCTGGCAAGGGCAGATAATCGGACATGCCGCGTGACCATCGCGGGCCGTTCAAGATACAGCTCGAAAGATTGTTGCCACCTCAGATGGCCGGCGTAGTTCGCCGAAAAATGGCACGGGCCAAAGTGGGCCGCGCATCGGGTGTCTAGGGACGGATGATCAGTGATCTGTTGTTCAACGCGACGGTTTCCAATCACGCAACGGACATCCTATCCCCATTGCGCCCGCCCCTCCGATCCTCGCGGCCATGGCCTGCATCCCGCTCCTCTTCTCAAGTATTACCCTCACCCGTCGCCCCCACTCATCATTTTCATCCTCATTGTCATCCCCTGGCGCACAGGCCGACCTTGAAACCCCATCTGGGAATTCGGCACGTAGCAGGAGGCCGAAGAAGGCAGTCCGGAGAGACGAAGACGGCGACGGGACTCAGCGTGGGTGGGGAAGGGACACAACGCGAGCAAACGATACGATGTTTCGACCATGATGCAGCCCAAATATCCAACGCACTCAGGATGAAAAGTCGACCTGCAACGCGGTAAATAATTCAAACCTCGCAGAACCCACCATTCTGAATGGCACGCGACGTAAACTAAAAATGTCGCGCACTCTGCTGTTCCAAAACGGCTGCGGAAATAAGCGTAGGCGATGGACACCTGGCTTTCCATACGGTCCTCCTTGCCATTGTGTGTGCGTGTACCATATACCTAGTCGTCCTCACGGCCACCCACGTCATCATTGTATGCCTCACTCCCCCCTCACTCCATGCCATCCTGTCTCCATCGCCCGTGAAAAAGCAAGCACGATCGAGCCCGCGCAACTGCGACAACGCATTCTGCAACTGCTGGACGGCAAACCGACGCACAGATGCAGGAGCAAAAAGGCCACTGGCGAAGCACCTGCCGACAGCATTGGCGGCGTGTCAATGGCCGTCGTTGAATTCCTGGGGCGTTTGAAATCCTGGTGGTGGTCGTCGCCGTCGTTCTCGCACTCCTCTTCGACAGCGAAGGTTGGAGCTGCTTACTGGTATAGAAACGTGTCCATACCGATATCAACCTCCTTGGGAAACGAAGACAGGAGACCACGATGCAAATCCTCCCCTTGTGAATCATTGGGCTGGGGAAACTGAGTGACGGACGAGCCGCGACTGGCATCGGCAAGATGGGGCTGCCCAGCATGACGCTTCGGGACAAGCTCTCCACCAACGGGCGGAACACCCTCGCCACGATCAGGCCCAGGAGCAGGCACTGCGTGGATAGCATCCACTTCGAGCACCCCCGTGGTGGGTTTGTACTTGTTTGGCTCGGTCGAACCAACGTCCATTGTCACATTGCCCTCCAACGTAAGTCGGCCACGAATGAAGCGCCCACCCTCTGGGAGGCAGGCGCGGATGTCAAGGTCCATTACGCCATTGGAAGGGGAACCGCTGGAAATCAACAGTGGAAGCTCAGAACAAGTCCGCGAAAAGGCAACAATATAAGAAACACCTTGACCCAACCGAGCAACAACG